AGTGTTGTTTTAGTAAAGCTGGATAACTGAATGAAACTTTTATCTTTGAAAAACAACTGAGAAGACAACAATCAAGGATCCCTCTGGGGTAACTGAAATTAAAGACAGATTTTAAAATGGTGAGGGGAAAAAAATGTAACAGCCCATTCCTGGTTTAACAAATGGGTAGATCAGTCATCTGAGAAGCAGCCACAGTGCCTGCCCCTACCTGAAACGAAACAGCAATTATTGACAAGGTGATTAGAACATGACTGAACCAAAGGCTAATTTTCCTTTCTCCAATAAAAACAACAAAAACAAACCAAAAACTGTATTTATACTTAAATGCGCACGCTTAAGCTCGATAAACTCTCTCATTTTATGAAAATTTAAATCATGTATCTGATAAAAAAGGCAATGAAAATAAAAGCATAGTGACACTTCCTCTTCACTCATTATTGAAAAAATGAAAGAGAGTCCTGGTTTTGTTCTGTTCCCTGGAGAGAAAAAGAAACCCCTATTAAAAGAAAAAAAGAAAAATAGAAAAAAGCCAACCACCAACAAAAAAAACAAAACAAAAAAATCCCACCTGCCCCCAAACCATTGCATCTGCCTCAGACATAAACACCCAGAACACCCAGGAGTCCAGGATGTGCTCCAAGCTAGGGATAACTTCAGCAATTTCCACAAACTCCCTCTTTTTTTTTTTTTTTTTTTTTTTTCCCCTCCCTAGGAAGCAGAACCTTCTACAGCGTATTAGACATCTGATAAGAGGGTCTTCTGAACAGAACTCATCTTCATGAGGAATTAATTATGGATAGCTGATCCTTTTACTAACAGCCTATTGAATGCTCTTGTTCCAGAATAAGAGTGTCTCGTTCCAACTCAGCTTAATCCACTTAACTCATCTGGCATAAAACACACTTCTGCTACAACAAAGGCTGGATGGAACTGAGCTATTTCATTCTGAAACTGTAATCTAAGCCCTAGTCATCTGGGTTCATATTACACGATGCTTCATCAGCTGAATGGACAGTCCTTCAGGTGTCTGAAATTGTACCTAGTCTGAGGAAACAAGTCTCTTGCATTTGCCAAGTGAGGAGACCAAAAACCTGACATTCCCATCTAAATTAATTCTTCCAGGGTCCAATCTGACCCGTGTGCCAAGTGCACCCCCTGCACTGACAGCATCTGTGCTTTGAAAGGTTCTTCACAAAGCAGTTGTTTCCCGATTCCTTTTCTTCGGTACTGCTTGGGGTAGCAAACAACGATGACATGTCCTGTGTGAACCTGGTAAACAACAGGACTGACTCCTGTTTTGAGGGTTTCTCGGTTTACAAGAATTCAAAGCAGCAGCTCTCCCCTCACTTACAGACCACGGCTCCATATGGACCCTGTGCTCCTGAGGACAGGGTCCTCTGCATCCCATCTGTTGGAGCTGGTCACCGCGTGGCCAGAAACGGCAGTCTTTGTGGCTGGAAAAAGTCCAGAAAGAGAAACCGGAAAGCAGGTTGCCTCAGTAGCTTATGTACTTCAAGGAGGTGGAAAAATCCCCACTCCTGGTGAGCCTCAGGTGATTTTTGAAATTTGGTTGGCTAACAGGAGCTGCAGGCAGTGGCTCAATACAAATGCACTTGAGGCAAAAACAGAAATCAGGTTACTCGTCTCCATTCCTATCACACCCCTTCGTGTTCCACTCTTCCCAAACAGAGGCTCCAGATCCACACTCCCTACTAGCTCCCCACGTCACAGATCAGGACCCATCTTGGGTCCCCCCACCCCTGTTACTGGATGTTCATTAGCAAAAACAGTGCACGGAGGTACCTGATCTGAGGAGCAGGCACCTCTGCACAGCTACCACACATGATTGCTTGCATGCAGGAACCCAGCCAGTGGTTCACACAGTCACCTCACTTCCAATATGCCATCAAAGTCAGGATATTTTTAGCAACCACCATGTAACTCCATCGTGCTGAACAAGCTTAGTTTACTTGGCAGGAGCCAGCACTCAAGTATTTTGAAAAGCCTGTTGATCACTAGGGGTACCAGTGCTAAATACACATTTAAGAGGCACCGCTTCAAGAGCGAGAAGCCATCACTTCGGTGTGAAGCGTGACAGTTAAGGGATGTCAGCGCTGTGCCACAATGCCACTTCAGGAAGCGACTCTGGTGCTCTGGATGCACCTCACCAGGGCTGAGAGTCAAGCACAGATGCTTTGGAAACTTAAAAGTCTTAAAAATAAACTCTGAATAAGCTAAAGATACCAAACACAATTGCTTTGGTAACGTCAATCCTGTCATTAGGGCTTCTGGCTTGCAAACACTAAAGCAACTAGTGGATCTAACTCTGAGAGCCATATATAAAAATCAATATAGAAGATCTAGCCAGAAATAAACATGATGCTTTAAATTTATAACCTGCCTATTTCAGATGACCTTTCCTTTGTAGGGCAACCCTACAGAGTCGCTGTTACCTCCAGATTATCACTTCTGCTCCAGCAATGCCTGTAAATTAATTTTAGTCTATATATCTTCTAAGCATATTGAAACTGCTCAAGAAAAGCTATTTATGTGAACATTCACATTATCTGAAAAAAAAAAAAAAAAAGAAAGCTATGCACTACAGAGTTGAACAATCATACAGTAAGTTAATTTGTGTCAAGACAGAAAATAATGGCAAGAATTTTTTTTGAGTAACAACTCTGTAGATGCTCTTACCTCACTGTGCCACTCTCAGGAGTTACTCTAAAAATAGCAAGCCCTGAAGATACACCGTGTGTTGCTGTCCATTTGTGAATCGCAGTGTAAGCAAAAATCTTAAAGACTGTGATTACTGAATGCAATTCTGACAACACTTTTTATCGGATAGGTGGGAGGCCCTGTAGATACTAGACAAGTCATTTTTCCTCATGTTTTTGCAACTTAAAGAAGATGAACTATGTGAGGTCTAGTTTTGCTAATGTAGTAGCTTGATTAAGATGCAATAACGTTTCTGAAGTAGACTTCAGCTTTAAAAGCTTTTCTTAATACTACTTTAACTACCTAAATAGAGCAAGAGGAGACACTGTTAATAACATATGATTATTCTAAGACAAACCTGTAATTACTGACTTACAGAGGTGGACAGTAGAAGAATAAAACTGTACTGTGAGCTCTCGGTAACTAAAGTTTCCACGATACAAGTGCTTTTTCAGTAAGACAATTTAAAGCTTCCTTTTGGTAAGATGAAGCATCTTACATATTTAAATCTAAAATAAAGTCATTGCTATTTAGGTAAGTCTTCCTAAGACTTCATATTTGAATAGTAATTAGCTATGACTACAATCAGACTGAGTGAGAATACCTTGATATATCCAGTCAAATGAACTTTTTGGCTACAAAAGAGTATTAACATTTTTGCTTTTGTTTTTACTTCTATGCAAGTAGAAGTGTCATGAATACAGCAGGGCTGCAACAACAGCAGTATCCCTAGGCTCATCTTGTTTTATCACTCCTGAATTAGTGGAGGTAAAGCAGGGAAATGCTATACAGGAAAATTGTTGATTAGCCCAGTCACAGACGTCCCTTATGGAAGTTTATTCCAAAGACATAGCACGCCAATCAGAAGAAAATAAAATTTGCTTCACATAATTGGTGGAAAGCTATCACTAACAAACTATTCATATACACATGCTCTTTAAACCATCTCTCTCTCAAGGCGCAAGGCTAAGATGATCAAAACTGCCCCTCTTTACATTTAGCAAATAGGTATGGAATAAAGATTTAGGGCTCATAGTCAAATCAAAAGTCACATTTCCTTAAAAACAAAGTTACTGCTATAGTACCTGAAAGAACAGAGCAAAAGGTATGTCTACGCAGAGAGGCTAAGTGCTAGAAATAGAAAACAAGATTGAGATTTCTGCCATGCTGTTACCTCCTCAACAATCTCTAAACTACATTCTATTTTAACCACACTTATCAGAACACCTGGCAGTTGTGGAACCACTTCTAATCTCATTTTCTACTTTAGTTTGTATTTTTTTTCCTCTCAAATTCAGGTTCTCTACTATTCTTTACAATCTTATTACAAATACTTAGTACATCAGTCCTAAACAAAGGCATTAGAAATAAGGTTCCTAGTAGTTTTATTACTGGCTTTTGGCTAAAATTATCTTCTTTGGCTTTATATTTAACATTTAATATTTTGATTAAATCCTACTTTTTAGAAGTTCTAGAGCTATTGAAATATTCATAGTCATCTTTTGATCATATGTAAGTGGGTTAATTGGTCCCAGCTTATAGCAGGGAGTTGCCTACAGCATCAGACTCTGGAAGTGGAAAGCCAAAACCCGTTTTTCATCATAGCATGAAGGCGGCTTTTGAACATACTTTCAAAAGATAAATAAATTGTACATAGTCTCATATCATTAAAATGTCATGTCCTGGGATACTTTCTCACCTTATCACTCCATTATTCCCGCTCATTAAGGGTTGATTATAAACAGGAGCTTGTCTCTGTGTGCATATCAAGTGGAGAAAATGTCCCCTCCTAAGGGAGGGAGGTAACTACTACCTTTTCATAAAGCATCTCACAGTTAAAAATAAATAGCAGTATTTTTACAGTGAAAACAAGTAGTATCTGATCTACGCAGATCTTACAGTGGGTTTCTTTCTAAACAGGTAAGATTTCAAGGAGGAGAAATAAATAAGCCTCTGGTAAAAGAGCAACTGGGAAAAAAAAAGCAAGCATTCTCTCCACATTTAAAGTATTATTCAGTCAAATTGGAATTCAATGTAGCCATTCAAAGTCTGATTTGTAAACCAGAAGTGTTCTACCCTCATCTTCCGAACAGCTGTAAAGCATCGTCACATCAGAACTGACAGCCTCAAATCTGCCTCAGCTACCTATATATTTGCAGGACAGTTTTGTGGTGGTTTAAGTAACTACATAGGTGTTTTTAAGCAAAACAACAACTTTATTTCATATATGGTCTACAGGATTTCTAATGCTTAAAAAAAAAAAAAAAAAAAAGTAAAGAAAAACATGGAAAAACTGGAGTAGAGTCCCCTTCCGGTTATACTGCTGTTGGAAGCTCTGTGGCTAACCACATTTTCTCACCTAGTGGAATTTCAGTACTGTAGAGTCCAAACATTTGCCAGATTCAGGTTACATGGCTTTTCAGTTCTGGTGTACTCTTTAAACTTCCCACCTCCTTCTTCAGGACATTAAGCAAAGTTCTAGAACTATCCAAAATTTTCATGTAAGCAGCTTCCGTTTCAGCAAGAATTTTATCAAGCTCATTCCGTGACGCTACCTTTTGGGCCAGGTCTTCACATACACACTCCAGTTGCTCATTCAGGACTTGGATTTGATGCTGGAGCTTATTCTTTTCCTCTTCTGCTTGCTGTATTTGTTTGTTCAGCTCTTCTTTTTGCAGAGATAAATCTTCGATGCATTTCACTAGCTCATTATTGTAACCCTGCAGAGCAGCTCCCTGCTGAGTCATCCTCCACGGCTCTCCCTCGGCCCCCCAAGGTCCCCTCTCAGCCACAGTCTTCTGCACTCTGGAAGAAAACAAAAACAAACAAACAAAACAAACCATAAAAAATGTGAAGCTGAGTTGTCACGAATAATCACACATCTTGAGCAAAGCCACGGGGAAAGGTGCTGAATTAAGATAATCACGCCCTTTCTGAGGTGTGCCGCATTTCTTAGTTTCCCAGGAAGGAGCATAGGGCAAAACTACGGGATTACCCACGCTGAAAATCGGTCCTTCGTGTAGTTAAGTGCAGAGCAGAACATGGCGATGCTCTGCTCGGGGTAACCAAACAGAGCTACCGCACTGAAACACGCCCTTCGCACCACCCCGAGGGCACGATGCGGGCGGGGGGCGCGCTGAGCAGCAGCCGCC